TATGACTTATGTGAGTTTTACTGCAGTGTTATTCACATATCAAACACTTTACAAAGAATAAGCAAGAGCCCTAAATGGGAGGGAGGGCGGTAGGGAGGGAGGAGGGATAGTGGGGAGGTTGCTGAAGGCACAGTTAAACAAAGATGTTATAGAGAAGAGTTTTGAAAGCCAAAAGGGAGGGGGTGCAAGGCAGATTGATTTTGGAAGTGCTATAGAAAACTAATTTGAAAATTAAGGCTGAAGTTAAGAAATGTCAAAAATTTGCATGCTCTAACTTGCTAAGAAATAAGTTCAAGCCTCAAACTAGGTTGAATTTCTTCCCCTTAATCAACTTGGTGTCTGACACATGCAAAAACTCATCATCATGCTTAACAGTATTCAAACCAAATTACAGAGGGTTCCATGTGTGCATGGAAATTTCCCATTTGTCAGGATTTGAGTGTGCAATGTCTCTTCTTGGATAGATGCATCCTGCTCACCTCAGCTAAGAAAGGATTAAGTATAGCTTGGCCAGGGACTATCACAGCTGCCACAAAGGGTTGATTTAATTCTGATATAATAATAATAATCCTTGATTTGATAAGGCGCTGAATCAAAACTCTTCTGTATAATGTTGTTGAGATGTCTCAAAGTGCTTCACAGAATATACTGTGGATTGAGTGACCAAACTATTATTAAGGTTTTGCCCAGCTCAGGAAATGAACCCGTGTCATCCTGCTTGTGAGGCGAGTGCTCTAACCACTAAGCTTCAGGGCTCCAAATAATAATCCACAAACAGTCGTGGATTGCGTGACCAATTATTATTATTTTTGTTTGAAGGAATTATTACAACCGGTTCCTACTTACTGTTAGGTAAACAGAGGCGTGTGGAGTAAGGAACTTACCTAAGGTTTTGCCCTGTCCGGGAATCAAACTTGCATCCTCTCGCTTGCGAGGGGGTACTCTCGCCAATACCCTACAGGACTCCACTATTTCGTTGTTGATATTCCATGGCCAGACATGTCATTTTGAAATCAATTCAGCCCCAAAAGACGCTACTAACTCCCACCGCTCCCCTGCCCCCAATTGAAAACTGCCTTATGATTTCAAGCTGTTGTTTCATAAGAACATAAGAAATAGGAGCGGGAGTAGGACATTCGGCCCCCCGAGCCTGTCCTGCCATTTAATAAGATCACGGTTGATCAATGTAACAAATAAGAATGATTTGAAATGGCGCAGAATGTGAAACAATACAATACAATTTACATTTTTGTTATGCCTTTCACGTCTCAAAGCAATTGTCTCAAAGTGCTTACACTATGTTTTAGTTGCAGATTATTGTTCATTGATACAGTAATAGGTGGTATTAATCAACACTGTTGGTTTCCTTATAGTTCTTTGGGCTTTATTTTTCAGATGGTCGCAGACCCAAAGCATGTAGCAGCGAATCTCACCAAACTCCTTCATACTGCAGCTAACATTATGAATCTTACAAACGCAACATCATTAGGAAACATGGTAGCTATGGGTGACATTCTGGAATCATTCTCAAAAGTGAAAAATGTTTCTGTGGATGCAAGTGAAGTGGAGGTAAGATATGCATGATACAGATTATATCTAAAAATGAGTAAACTACAAAGATATGGGGGAAAGGTTAGATAAATGGGACTGAAGGGATTGTTCTTTAAAAGGGCCAGTGCAGACACAATGAGCAAAATGGCCTATTTCTGTGCTGTAAAATTCTGTGGTTCTACATGTTTGCCTGCAAACCATACAGCCACTACACTTCAAATTAATTCCTGTGAAGCTCTTTGAGATGTCCACCTGACATTAAAGGTGTCTTATCGAATGTAAGGATTATAATTATTATGTATTCAGCACTTTGAGCACACATTGATTGTTCCTTCTGTGCATATCAAGGTTTTTAAGTCACTTTCAGCTATTAACCGTTAAATAGGAACATAACCATATATTCGGGTTACAATTGCAACTTTTCATAGCAAATTCAAATCTGATGATGTTCACATTGAATTTGAATTTCTCAATCTCATTTAAAATCCTATATATATCTATAATGTCCCCACTGTGAGGTCACTTTTCAAGGCTAAAGAGCCCTGGCTTGTTACTTATGAAATATTCGTCTAACATTGTATATCATCTTCATTCCTCTCGTCTTTAGTATATTTAGTGCCTGGGCAGCCATAGTTTCATGGTGAGCAGAGATGTTTGCAGCAGAACTCCAGGAGCACCAACCTGTCCAGAACTTGAATATGACTTCTGGGGCTATGAAGTCAACTAATTTGGCAATATAGCATCCTGTTTGCTTGTTTATTGCTGCCTTATATCTTTTGCACATGGAGAGCAACTAACACCTCTCGCTCTCTTTCAGCTTCCCCCTTGGCAAGTTCTATCCCATGTGCTTCCTGTTCTTACATCCGATATGCAGAACCTTTTTGCATCCCACCCACAGCACAGAGTATGTCCTCGTTTCCGCTCTGTCTGTGAAAAGGTTCTTTCGCCTATTCGACCTCTCCACCACTGTGACACTGTTGACCACTCCATCCTTTTCCACTGTCTCTTCTCCCTGGTAAATTTTCACATTTCTGGTTCTGTCCCACCTGTCCCAGCTTCTTCAGCATGTCTCCTCTGAAGGCTTCTCCTCGTGCCCCGTATGATCACTTGTGGTGCTTCTAAGGGCTATATCGTTGGTCCTCTCCTTTCCCTGATGTACATACAGAACAACAACAATAATAAAATTGGTCATTCATTTCATGGCTGTTTGTGGGACATTGTGTGCAAATGGACTACCGTATTTGCCTACAAATATAGTCACTCCATTTCACAGTAAATCCTGCAAAGAGCTTTGAGACATCCTTCCAATGTAATAAGGTGCCATCCTAAATACAAGGATGATTAATTATTACTATAAGATTATATTCCACAAACAGCCAGCAGATTTACATTACACCGCAGCCCAAATGATACCAGAAAGTAACTTTGATACCTAAAGCATCAAGGTAAACCACAGGGAAAAGTGATATTATGCAAAGATCACATTTGGAACTTACACATTCCATATACAAATAAGTACACACAAAAAATGGAGTCCTGTAGCTCAGTGGTTAGAACACTTACCTCACAAAAAGAGGACTAGTGTTCGATTCCCAGGCAAGTGAAATATTGGGCAAGTTTCTTTGCTCCACACGCCTCTGCTTACCTAGCAGTAAGTAGGAACCTGCTTATCAGTTGATTGATGGACTGCTTTTCTGGGGTAATAATTGTTTCAAATTTTTTAAAAAAATAAGAAGTTGTTCATTGAATCCACGACTGTTTGTGGGACACTGCTGTACGTAATTGCTGCTACATTTTGCCCACAAAATATATAGTCAATTCACTTTACAGTATATTCTGTGAAGTATTTTGAGACGTCTTGAAGATAGGATAAGCTGATATATCAAATGCAAGGATTATTATTATTAAGTATTAGGAACAATATTTTTTTGTCTGAGAAACATGTGATCCTTCCCTTTCCAGTATCTATTTTTTCCCACAAGTACAGTACTCATTTGTAGCTATAGTTCAAACTGTGATGTCAATTTCACTGGCCAGAAATGTTATTACTGCTTCTATAAGGCCTAAATTCCCTGCAAATCTTATCTTGAACAACCATTTATTTTAAAATTGCAATTGTGCAGAATTGCAGATGATTCTGAAATTTAGCCTTTGGAAACTGGTTCTTGTTAAGAACCTCAGAAAATCGCATTTTGTGTTATAACTGGCCATATACCCTGCCTTGCCGGCCTAAAATCGGTGGTCAGACCTTCAAACTTTTCCCCCACTCTCTGTACCTCCATCCTGATGTTCTTCTGCCTCACCCTCACCTTTGCCTCTTTCAAGCCTATCTCAAGATCTTCCTCTTTGACCATTATTTTGGTCATCCTCCCATCCCCCAACCCCCTTGCCCTCCACTCCTCTTGAGTTCAACTTCCAGCTCGGGTGTAAACCCTTTGCTTTGGAACGTCCTCCCGACAGGAAAGGCACTATATAAATGCAATTTCTTGGTGTAGTTGTTGGTATAACTCAATATAAGACTTTTCCACAGTTATGCATGATCTTAAAACACAAGATAAAGTGGACTTAAAGTTGGACTTTTGGATTTATTGATTTAATCAGAGTTAAAGAAGAAACTCGATATTTTGGAATAAAATATTTTAGTACAAATCGAGAAAGAGCTGGAAATCCACAACAGCTTAATCAGCTTTTGAATGAGAAAAACAGATTAACATTTTGGGCGGGAACCTTTTTCTGCTTTTCATTTAAAAGACAACTTGGTGTAGTGATGGGAGCATGGGTATTCTTGGAAGGATGAAATCAGGTAGGCTGAAGGGCCTTTTCATCCAAACAAATCTTGTGATATTGTGATCAGAGTAGAAATCTGAGTTGAAAGTAACTCTGGATCAGAGAATGATAAGCAACGAAAAAACATAACCAAGACATTAGAAAAAATTCACCAGGGGTTTGATATGCTGAAGATTTCCAGTCATTCTTTTTGTTACAGATTTCAGTTACCTTCATTCAAGCTATTTTTATAATTTTCTCATTCTCAGACTGTTTTCTCTCTATTCTAGCCTTATAATTTGTCCCAAACATGTGTTTATTAAAGCTATGTATTATGTTTCCAGAATTTTATGACAGTAATGAGCTTTATGACTGATAAAACAACAATTTCAAATTGGAACATCATTAAAGAATCAAACACTGAGAAGAATCGCCAATCACAAATGCTAGAGTCATTAGAAAGATTTACCCAGTTAATAAGTACCAATGAAAGCTCCATCGAAATCACAACGCCAAATATTCAACTGAAAGGATTAAAAGTTGACTCCGATGAAAACAACTCTTTTAATGTGACATTTCGTGGTTTGGATTCCAATAATATAAGTGGCACTGCATTTATTGATAAAAGTCAATATGCATTCCTTCCAAAAAACTCCTTTATTCTGAGCATTGCTTCCGCAACAATGGTTAACATTCTGAGTCCAAAGAGGAAAGATCATGTATTAAATTCTCTTATTTTGACAACAACTACAAAGAACAGTAGTGTCAAAATTGAAATGCGTCTACAGCTGGAAAACAACTCACTTGATTCCTTGTCAGCTGAATGTGTGTTTTGGAACTTTTCTGAACCAGGTTGGGATGATAAAGGATGCAGTATTGAAATACAAAAAGGCTATGCTGTTTGCAAATGCAATCACTTGACATCTTATTCTGTTATGATGAGCCCTTTTACCCCTGAAAATAACAGAGCTTTGGACTTAATATCCCTCATAGGAATTGGCATGTCTATTGGAAGTTTAATAATCAGCATCATTATAGAGGCAATAACATGGAAGTACTTGACCAAAAATAAGACTTCATACATCCGCAACGTTGTCATTCTGAACATTATTGTATCTCTACTGATGGCTAATGGTTTGACGGCTGTGCCTTTATTTGTGCACCCAACTCCATTGTACTGCACCATTTTGACTTTCTTGAAGCACTTTTTTTTTCTTGCCTTGTTTTTCTGGAAGTTAAGCCTAGGATTACTACTTCTGTATCATCTGATCTTTGTTTTTCATGACTTCAGCATTTCAGTCATAACAACAATGTGCTTTATCGTGGGTTACCTGTGCCCAATAATAATAGCAAGCATCACAATCGCACTGACGTATCCAAAGAACCAATACAATCTGCAGAAGGAATGCTGGCTCGAATGGAAAAACAGAAAAGTTCTACTTGCCTTTGTTGGACCTATGTCGGCTATCATCGCAATCAACATTTGCATTGTGTTAGTGGCAATATGCAAGTTGTTGAGACCAACCATCGGAGAACACTCCAAATATCACAGCAAAGGCAGCTTCAAACAAATTCTAAGAAGCGTTGTTATCCTAACCCCAGTCTTAGGTCTGACTTGGATAATTGGATTCCCAAATCTTTCAAAAGATAGTGGTATTATTTTCCATTATCTGTTTTCAGCGATCAATGGATTGCAGGTATGTATTATCTAGAATCTCAACTCTGGAGTTATTAGTGAAAATTCAAGTAGACATTAATAATAATAATAATAATAATGCTATCAACTATGGAAACTCTACTGGTACAATTGGTTGGATGACTTGCCCCAGTTTTGTGGAGTCCTGTAGCTCAGTGGTTAGAGCACTCGCTTTGCAAGCGAGAGACCTGAGTTCAATTCCAGGCAGGGCGAAACCTTGGGCAAGTTTCCTTACTCCACACGCCTAATAATAATCCCTCCAAAACAAAAACAATAATAAATTGGTCATTTTCAATCTACGACTGTTTGTGGGACATTGCTGTGCGCAATTGGCTGCCGCGTTCGCCCACAAGTATACAGTCAATTCACTTTACAGTGTGTTCTGTGAAGCGCTTTGGGACGTCCTCCCGACGTGAAAAGCGCTATATCAAATGCAAGGATTATTATTATTATATTATTATTGTTGTTGTACAAATGCACGAAGGTGGTCATTGCACAAATGCAAAATACCAAAATTTGGCTTTATTTATTTAGCAGACACCAGTTGGAGATCCTGCTCTAACTTGTTTGCTCGCAGTGTTGGATGTAAACAACTGTTCAACTTGATCTACATGCATAGAACCAGATGGCAACAGTAAAAATGAATCAATTGAAGTGACACTGATAGCTATAAGAATTTTTTTTCCCAGAGTAAATAAAAGAAACAAACTTTGAATAAAAATAGATGATGATTATTTTTCATTTGAAAAAGAAACAGATAAATTATCTGTTTAGGAATGTTTCATTTTACAGGTAATTAGCGAACAGGATCCTGGTTAATGCTATAGGTTGAGTTTAGATCCTCAGATGTCACACTCAAGCTATATAGTGCTCTGGCGAGACTGCATATACAGTTCTGGTCATCGCAACATAAGTGGGCTGCCCAGGGTCTATGGGTAGTGCAGAGGAGAGCAACAAGGAAGATCCCCAGTGTTAGAGGAATGAAATTATGAGCAAAAATTAGACATAATAGAGTTCTCCAGTATTGGGAAATGATGTCTCAGATGGGATCTTATGAAGGTATGTAAAATTTAAACGGGGTTGAAAAATTACTTTTAAAAAAACTTTAAGATGCACCAAGACAGTAGAGCAAGAGAACACACATTTAGAATTGCAAAGGACAATTTCAGAACATACACCAAAAGATTTTTCTTTACTCAGAACGTAAATAACGACTGGAAGATGTTACCAGGAAGAGTGTTAGAGGCCCAGACACTCATTTAAAAAAAACAGCTTGATGCTGTGGTGGGAAGGAGTAGAGAAAATATTCTGGAAGGATGTGCCAAAGGGTTTTCATCATCAGAAACAATCTTGGATCTTATGATAGTTGTCCAGTGGAATGATTTATGTTTTGAGATCAATGTGGCAGCCTTTATACAAGCAGAAAAGTCCCACAAGCGATGAGGAGAATGACTAATTTCTCTGGAGGATTGGCCAGATATCAGGAGAAATTCATTTCCTGAAATAACTAAATCAGAGCTGGACTTCTATTTTGAGCAGTCAAAGGTCACATTGGTGATAATAGCAAAGATGCCAGTGGTAACCTGGCTTGGTTGGCTTCAGGCCAACCCATGTGTTTTAAGCAAACCCTCCAGACCTCTGTTCCAATGCTGATCTCTTCCTATTACCTATCAGATGCTGGGGACCTCCTTTGGCTGCATTTCAACTTCACGGAAGTCAGAAATTAGATCAGAATCTATACAGAATTTTGACCTGAGGCACATATATTTCCTACCTTCTGTGAAAATTCCACTTCGCTTCCCTGAACGTCTGTCCTGCTGCCTTGATATAATATGCAAGCATTGTTAAGGGTTAACTTTCTCTATCCTATTTAGCATCTTATATACTTTATAAGAGCCCCTCTGAGATATCTATGCACACGTGTTGGCCTGGCTCAGTGGTAACACTCTCATCTCTGATTCATTAAAAGATCCTATGGCACTATTCAAAAAGAGAAGGGCTGGTCAACAACCCTCTAAATAAAATTGATCACTTACTTCATGGCTGCATTTTGCCCATAAAACGCATAGTGATTCCACTTTACAGTATAAATATATATATTGTGACGCGCTTTGAGATGTCTTGACAATGTGATAAGGCAATTATTTCAAATGCAAGGATTAAATGCAAGGATTACCTCTCTTGATGGTTAAAATGGTCTAGCTTATTATTTCATTCATCATCATGACCCACTTGCCCTTTGGATAAAAGGTTAAACCAAGGTCCTGTCTACCCTCTTGGTTAGACAATAAAAATCCCTGACATCTTGAACAGAGCATATGCAGCTTGAGCATGACTTCTAGTGTTATGAAATCAGCTGATTTTGAAAAAATGTAGTTCAACATCCTTTTGTCTTTGTTTAATGTTACCTCACTTCTTGGGCACGGTGAATAAATGTTAGCTAACATCCTATTGATCTATTTCAACTCTCTTGTTTTGTTTTCCAGGGGTTCTTAATTTTTATCATTTGTTTCGTGATAGACAAAAAGGTAAAGTCCAGATGTGTGCATTTTAACCATTTTATTCAGACATTTATTTTTCACATCAATTAACAAAATGTTTCTTTCTGTTACTACACTAGGTGCATGAAGCTCTAAGAATGAGGTTTCCATTTGACCAGAATCCTTATGTTTCAAAGGTAGGTGTGTCATCCGTTCCCATTAAATTGATTGTTCCAGAATATCTTGTGAACTACCTTCCCAATCAGTGTTAAGCTGCTTTTTAAATGAGTCCAGGGTCTTCCTTCGTAGTAACTTATTCCAATTGTTAATTACTTTCGTGGTAAAGAAAAGCTTCTTGATGTCTGTCCTGAAACTGCCCTTTGCAACTCTAAACTTATGTCCTCTGTCTTAGAGCATCCTAAAGTAATTTGTTCAGGGTTTACTTTTTGAATCCATTTAAAGTTTTATACACTCTTCTCTAACTTGTCTAATTGTTGCTCATAACTCATTCTTCTAACAGCCTGGCTGGGTTGGTAGCACTCTCATCTCTGAGTCAGAAGTTTGTGGGTTCAAGCCCCACTCCAACACATAGAACTCATATAGTCAAGAATGACACTCCAGCGCTGGATTGTTAGAAGTGCTGTCCTTTGGATAAGATGTTAAACTGAGGTCCTATCTCTCTGTCCAGGTGGATATTAAAAGTCCCATAGTACTATTTTAAAAGAGAAGGGAGTCTCTCCCGATATCCTGGCCAACAATCCCCTAAATGAAATTGGTCACTCACTCCATGGCTGTTTGTGGGTCATTGCTGGAAGCAAAATTGGCTGTGCGTTCACTTACAATATACACACAATCATATTACTTTACAGTATATCTTTTCAAGTGCTTTCAGACGTCTCAATGACGGGATAAGGAGCTATATCAAATGTAAGGATTATTAAATATCATCCTTATTGCTCTCTTCTAAATTGTCTCTATGTGTGGTCTGACCAGAGCACCATATATAGAGCCTGATTATGATATTTGGAGATCGAAAACTCCCTTTTTTAAGGCCCTTGCTGACACTTCTGATTTCAGTTACTCCCAACTTGGTGACATTTGCTAATTTAATTATCTTACACTGGGTCTGTGTATCCAGTTCATTAATATATACACAAGGAACAGGAAAACCCCAGGGAATATATTAATGACCGAGGTACCCCTGAGGCACTCTGCTTAACTGGTATATAAACACAAACTTACAGAAAACAGGCTTCCGTTTAAGGTAACGGTTACAAATTTGCCAAATTATGAATGCTCTAAAGTGCTATTTAAAGTAAACTAATCTAGACCCAGATTTTGTTCCCCTGAGCATTCTATATGTATAATAATCAAACTCTCTGATTCTTCTAACCTTCCCATCACATCTATAAAATAATTCTAGTACCTAGAAATAACCATTACTTTACCTGTGAATTCAATGTAAAGGCAGCTGGGTGTTTGAAACTTAAGTAGTGGCCTGTGGTCCAGAAGAATATTTGTTTGTTGCCAATCTGTGATTCCTGTCAGAACAAGAAGCCAAACGAAAACAAGGAAGGGAAGGATCACTAGTGATCATTTTTCTATTCTCAATGAGGTTGGTCACACAGTGTAGGGAACAGGACATCAGGGACTATCTCTTAGGAATATGACGAGGAACACAAAAATATGACAATGTTTGAGAAACAGGTACAACAAATACATTAATCACTTGCCTTCAGCTAGTAACAACCATTGTGGGTTTACATTTTCAGCTGTCGCAAAGCACGTCTGAAAAAAGTTCCTAAAAGCCAAGTCGTGGGCTATTTGACAACGAAGGGTGAGTATAAGACTGTAGTGGATCATAGCAGGATTAATTGTATGGTAATGTTTGCAGTATTTTGTATTGGATTTCTTAGTTATGACATGTGTAAAGTTTACAGAATGGACTCAACACAACGCAACTCCAGTTCAAATCGACTGGAGTGGGGTTCCTTGAGCGATGTACAACAACAAAAAAAAAATTTACATTTATAGAACGCCTTTCACGTTGGGAGGACATCCCAAGGCACTGGACAGTCAGGAGTCCGGACCCGAGTAAGGGGGAGGTGTGGGGTAGGGGTGAGGGAAGGCAGAGAGGTGGGAGGGCGACCGAAGACACGATCGAAGAGAAGGGTCTTGAGACCAGCCTTGAAGGAGGCAAGGGAGGAAGCGAGGCAAAGGGACTGTGGGATAGAGTTCCAGAGGATGGGGGCAGAGAGGTTGAAAGCTTGGCCACTGATGGTAGGGTGGATTAGGCGGGAGATATGGAGCAGACCGGAGCCCAATGAATGGAACGCTGAACATGATGTAACCCTGGTTACTGGTGGGGAAGACAGAAAGAGAGGGGGCAAGAGGAATGGTGGACAGAAGGAGTTCCTAGGTTAGGGCCATAGGAACTGGAGACTTGGCCACCAATGGTAGCACAGAGAGGATGGGGATCGCACAACTAGCTGGAGTTAGCTGAGCGGAGGAGAAGTAGGGTAGGTGAAGATGAGAGAGATAGAAAGATGTCAGGGAGTGGATCAATTTGTAGGTGAGGGTGAAGATTTTGAAATGAATCTGCTGGGATCCAGGAAGCCAGTGATGCCTGGTGAGGACTGGAATGATGGGCGCAGTCCATGTGGGTGAAGATGCTGGTGGCAGTGTTAGATGAGGTGCAGCTTGTAAATGGTAGAGCTACAGAGACCTGCACATTGGAAAAGTCCAAGCAGGGCATAATAACAGTAGGAATGAGGGTTTCAGTGGCAGTGAGTGTGATGTAGGGGCTGAGGTGGGCAACGTGGCTATTTAATTTGTTCATGGCAGGTTTGCACGTTAGAGTGACTGCAAACTGTTTCGCCCACAAAATATATGGTCAATTCACTTTATAGTGTATTCTGTGAAGCGCTTTGAGATGTCTCGAAGACGTGATAAGACGCTATATCAAATGCAAGGATTATCATTATTAATTATTTATCCTCACTATTTTCTTAGTGTCACTTTTTAGCATCTTTACACTTCAACTGAAATGAGACCGAAGCTATGGATTAACAGACGAAATTCCACGGATCAAAACTGACCATCGTGAGATCACAAGAAAAGTTAAATTCTATTTTAACAAATGCACAATAACTTTGAATGGCGTTGAATGTACAAACTTTATAAATTTGCAACTTATTTATTTTTTAGGTGAAAATATTTTTTGATTAGTGGGGAGAGCATTCATACACACAAGTGAAAACGAAACTAAAAAACACATTATGGTGAATTGGTCTGAAAATAATTCATTGGCAATTCTAATCTCAGGTAAGGGTTAACACAATTAAACAAAATGTACTTTGGTTACTAACTCCCAAAATTCATTGTTTTTTAAAAAAATGCAGTTTTAAGCCTCATTCACTTTTGTTGTTAGCAGTCAGTCAATCAAAGGTATTTAAGTGAGTTAATTTCTCTGATAATGATTTGATTAGCACGCATAGCAATATTTCATTTGTATAATTTTTTAACTTATGTTACAGAAGCTACAACAACAACAATTTGCTTTTATATAGCACCCATCACACAGGATAGCAACTCAGAGCGCTTAATAGCGTCAATAACAATGGGGAGAATTGTTTTCAATTGTGAATTATATTACATATTTTGTGAGATATTTAGTTACTTAAGGATACTTTTATTGTTCTGCTAATAAAATAATTCTTTAGCTTGTGTGTATTTTAGTAATAATAATTCTTTTGGAAATTGCTTTCATTTTACAAGCTGCGAATTTCATGGATTAGGTGAGCAATAAGATATTAAATTGATGTTTTCTGAAGGATGAACTACAATATGTAAACTTTAATTTCTGTTCATTAAATATTTTGAAGAAATTTTAATTATTGATGTTGCTTTCATCTGAGGAGTTTCCTTCTAAATTAAAACCAAGGATTTTGTCTTCTGTCTACCTATTCAAATTCCCCCTCCAATTGTTCTTCCTTTACAGTTATTATTTACCTTTCTTGTTTCTTCCAACTCCTACCCATCATTTGAGAAAGTGGAAATGTTTTTCTGACATGCATTCATCACATCCAGGCTTGACTATACAAACTCCCTCCCTCCATAGGCTGCAGATCATCCAGAACTCTGCAGCCCTCTCCCGCACCAGGCTCTGTGACCCTATCACCGCCAACCTCGGCCGACTCCACTGACTTCCCATCACAGGTCCAGGTAAAGGACCTGGATCAGTTCAAGATCCAAGTCCTTTACCTTCAAAGCCCTCCATGGAATTGCTCCCTCCTACCTCTGGAACCTCCTAACTCCCTACCAACCTGCCCGCTCCTTCGCTCAGTGGCCTGCTTCACATCCCCTGCCTCGCGGGCCCCAACATTGTTGAGTGGGCCTTCAACCACTCTGCCCCCACCCACTGGAATTCCATCCCGCAGTCCCTCCACGTCGCCCCCTCCATTGCCTCCTTCAAGACCCATCTCAAGACCCTTCTCTTCAACCACTGACAGTCCAGCACTTTGGAACGTTCTCCCGACATGAAAGGCCCTTTACAAATGTAATTTTATTGTTGTTGTTTTTCCCCCCCTACCTCTGCAACAACAACAAGATATAACAACAAGATTTCATTTATAGAGCGCCTTTCACGTCAGGAGGACGTCCCAAGGCGCTGGACGTTTGGGTCGGGACCTGAGCAGTAGGGAAATGGTCAGGGTGAGGGGAGGGAAAGGAGGGAGCGAGGAGGGGGTAGAGAGTCGAGAGGGGAGCCGAAGGTACCGTCGAAGAGAAAGGTCTTGAGACCGGCCTTGAAGGAGGAAAGGGAGGAGGCAAGGCGAAGGCACTGGGGGATGGTGTTCCAGAGCCTAGGGGCTGAGAGGCTGAAGGCCCGGCCACCGATGGTAGGGCGGTTAGGCAGAGGAAGTGGAACAGACCGGAGCCAGAGGAACGGAGGGTACGGGTGGTTAAGTAGGGGGATAGTAGGTCGGAGAGGTTAGAGGGAGCAAGGCTGTGAGTGGCCTTGTAGGTGAGGATGAGGATCTTGAATTCGAACCTCTGGGGGATGGGGAGCCAGTGGAGGGGAGCGAGGGTGGGAGTGATGTGTCCCGAAGCCTGGTGCGGGACAGTACACGAGCTGCAGATTTCTGAATAACCTGCAGCTTGTGGAGGGAGGTGCCGGGAAGGCCGACGAGGAGAGAGTTCCCATAGTCCAGCCTTGAGGTGATAAAGGTGTGGACCAGTGTTTCAGCAGCGTGAGGGGTGAGGTAGTGCCATAGTCTGGCGATATTCCGGAGGTGATGGAAAGCGGTGCCAGTTGTGGCGCGGATATGAGGGAGAAAGGACAGCTCAGGGTAGAACAGAACCCCGAGGTTCCTGACTGGCTTTGAGAGGTGGAGAGTGCAGCCTTGGATGCTGATACTGTCAGAGCCTGAGGTGCGGAGGCGCTGATGTGAGCCAATCAGGAGGGCCTCAGTTTTTCGCACGTTGAGCTGAAGGAAGTTGTCTCTCGTTCAGGACTCGATGTCGGACAGGCAGGCTGTCAGGACATCGGTGGTCGTGGAGTTGAGGGTAGAGGAGGAAAGGTAGAGTTGGGTGTCATCTGCATACATGTGGAAGTAAACCCCATGTCTGCGGATGATGTCACCAAGGGGGAGCATATAGAGGGTGAAGAGGAGGGGACCGAGGACAGAACCCTGAGGGACACTGCACGAGACAGTGCGGGGGTTGGAGGAAAAGCCGTTTGTGGAAACCACATGAAGAAGATGGGAGAGGTACGACCTAAACCACTCAAGGACAGGGCCTTAAAGTTTGAGGACGGAGGACAAGCGATGGAGGAGGATAGCGTGGTCGACCGTATCAAATGCGGCCGATAGGTCGAGGAGGACGAGGATGTAGAGGGAGCCCTGGTCACAGATGGTCAAGATGTCATTAGTGACCTTGACCAGGGCAGTTTCTGTGCTATGGGCAGCACGGAAACCCGACTGAAGGGGTTTGAATAATGAATGGGTGGAGAGGAAAGAGCGCAGCTGGGAGGCGACAACTCTTTCAAGGACCTTGGATAGGAAGGGGAGGTTGGAGATGGGCCGGTAGCTTGATAGTTGCGACACATCAAGGGAGGGTTTTTTCAAAGTGGGAGTGATAGTGGCAGTTTTTAGGGGAATGGGAACAGAGCCAGAGGAGAGGGACAGGTTGATGATCTCTGTGAGAAGTGGGGCAAGGAGGTGGAGCTGGGAGATAAGGAGTGGAGTGGGGAATGGGGTCAAGGGAGCAGGTGGTGGGTTTCAGGGACAGGATTAGGTTGGTGACAGAGGGTGGGGAAACGATTCGAAGGTGTGTAGGGGAGGATGTGTAGGAGTTGGAGTGTGGGAGGGAAGGGGTGGGGGGTGTGTGGAAGTTGGAGAGGCAATGACTGCGGAGCGGATTCCCTTGATTTTGGATTCAATGAAATACAGCATCTCCTCGCAGTGTAGGTTGGAGGAGATGACCTGCGCGGGGTGGCGGGGGGACGGAGGAGTCGGGATGTGGTAGAGGACAGAAGCCTGGGGTTGTTCTTCGCCTCCAGGATTATCCTTCTAATTTCCTAACCCCCTAACATCATGCTCGCTCCCTACACTCAGCAGGCTCCGGCCTACTTCATATCCCCCACTTCACCCACCCTACCATTGCCAGATGGGCCTTCTGCCACTCTGTCCCCACCCTCTGGAATTCTATCTCGCAGTCCCTCCACCTCGCCCCTCCCTTGCCTCCTTCAAGACCCATCTCAAGATCCTCCTCTTCAACCGGACTTTTGATCACCTTCCTTCCCCCTCTGCCCAACCCCAATCCCATATATTGCGCCTTTCATGTTAAGAAAACATCTCAAAATCCTTTACAAAGACAGAACCTGAGCTGGGAGAGAGTTGGGGCGGTTGATAAGAGGGAGGTGGCTGAAAGCAAATTTGAAGAGGTAAGTCTTCAAATGGGATGAAAAAATGCAAGGAAGGATTATTATTATCAAAGCAGAGAAGGATGGGATAGAGGGAGAGGGATTTCAGGAGATATTTCCAGAAGAAAGGACAAATTGCCTGAAGGCTTGGTAGGGTAGAGTTGTTGGGGAATATGAAATAGACCAGAGTTGGTGAAACTGAGAGAATGACTGGGGGAGCAAAACAACATTTGATGGTGCCTTTCATATTGGGAGAACATCTCAAAGTGCTTTCTTATGGAATATAGCGTGAAGTGTAGTGACTGCATATTGTATCCGTAAATGCAGCAGCACACAGAAATGTCCCACAAACAGCCATGAAGTGATTGGCCTATTTTATTTAGAGGATTGTTTACCAGGACACCGGGAGAAACTCACTTCTCTTTCGAATAGTGCCATGGGAGTTATTCAGGTAATTAAGAGATAATCCAGGAAATGTTAATGTTAAAATCAGGGTCACAATGTGAAACTCATTTAAAAACAGTTTGATGCTGTGATGGGAAGACAGAGGTACGAGGATGAGTTCAGATAGGCAGAGAGGCTTCCTTCGACAAGCTAGAGGCAAAGTAGATAAACGAGGTACAAGCAGAAAGGAATGTGTTAAGTACTTCTATCAGCAAACTTTGGATTTTGTTTTGTAAATAGAAGGAAAGTAAAAATGGAAATAATAGAATGACATCTACATATACTTGTATGGATTTTTGAAACATTTCCCAGGAAATGGTTCATTAACATTAAAACCAAAAAATCTGGGAATTTTTACTAGATTGATTGGTTTGAAATCAAACTGGAAATAAAAGAAACTGGCAAGTTATTAGTGCACACAGATCAGCTGAGAGAAACTGAATGAATTTCAAGAAAGAAATAAAAACATTTAACTGAATCCCTCAATTACATTAAAATTACACTACGTGAGTTGGTACAGATCACTAATATTCACAGAACAGATAAAATGAAGTTCCTGTTTTAACACTCCTTTGCCTCTGCAAACACATGAATCAGTTTGAATGCTCAGTGTGAGGTGTTGATTACACGTTACTTCTGTAGCACTTTCAGTGGAGATAAGTGGCTCAGCTTTACCCAGAGGTGCTGGATTTCACAACATATAGGAAATTGTGAATTTCTAACTGGATATAGATAGAACTAAACAGTAATAATATAATAATAATCCTTGCATTTGATATAGGGCCTTATCATATCTTCGAGACGTCTCAAAGTGCTTCACAGGATATACTGTCAAGTGAATTGACTGTATATATTTGTGGGCGAAACACTGCAGCCAATTGCGAACAGCAGTGTTCCACAAACAGTCGTGGATTGAATTTATTTTTTTTGAAGAAATTATTACCTCCGAAAAAGCAATCTGACATTCGACTAACAACCGGGTTTTGGTATTGACACGACCAAGATTCTCCACGTGTACAGGACAAATGCGAAGGGTACCATTGGTTCCATGCACACAAGGTCCCAAAGCCAGTAAAAAGAAACAGTATATTTAAATGTAAAGGACAAGGTAGGCAAGGTAGCATCTATCAGTTAGGTTTTTCTCTTCTGCCGTCGCAGCTATAAAGTGTGGAAACAGCAGGATGCAGACTTTAAAAGGGTGTCCTTGTGTTTTTTTACTCAGCAGATCAGTTAAATCTAGTGACTCAGATTTCTCTGCAAAGCAATGCATTGGGTGAGATGAAAGTCTTTGGAAGGTGTGCTTCAGTGACTTTGTTACCCTTTTAAATCCAAAGACAACCTGTTAAGGCTTTAATCATGAAGTCTGGTTTGTGCAGAGCTGTCCTTTTTCTCACCCTCTGTCCAGGGGAAATTGTGGGTTGGCTCTTTCATGGTATTGCAATCTGGTTTCACCATTCTAAACA